GTTGGTAATTTATAAATCACTCCTCCGTTCCATATTGTCATATGCCTCCCCCGCGTGGGGCTATGCTGCCAACACTCACATAAATAAATTACAGACATTTCAAAATAAAGTCCTCAGGATAATAACAAAATTGCCGAGGGTAACACCAATTACAACCTTACATGAACAGACGGGAATGTCATCAATAAAAAGTCATTTCAAGAGGATAGCGAGGACGTTGTACCAGAAATCGGTAACCAGCGAAAACAGTCAGATTCAGGCACTAGGACACTACGATCCCACTGGTGATAAACATCTGCTTCCCTTATCCCTGCTTGCAAGATAATCAGCTCTAAGATCTCTTTACAGGTAACCGGATGATTGCAACTCCCCAAACGCCCAGTACGCCAGCGGCCACATCGCCAAATCACCACACCTATGCTGGACAAGAAAAGAAGATGTGATTAAAAAAAAGAATTGTAATCATAAAATCCTGTCATTGGACGAGCAACAACCCTTTGCCCCTCCACAACAGTGATTTAAATTTATCAATACTTGAACAGTTACAACCCTTTACAAATGTGATACACATATGTAAACTTTTAAAATAAAGCAACAGGACAGACAGGGTCTAATGTTAGGTTAGGGGTCGCGTATTTAAGCCGGACTGCTGGCTAGAAGTCAGTTTGTATCCGGAAGGTCCTGAGACCGGCCAGCTCGACCAAGGTTTTCCGTGGTTTTCCTCGGTACTAGAGCAAATGCTGAGTTGGTACCCAATTCCACGTTGCACTGCATGCCTCACATGCAGCCCTCCCATTGTTAACATCAAAATTTCGCCTTAATATAGCCCTCCCAACGTTAGCAAAAACAAACAAACAAAAATCCGATCATATGCTCTATCTTTACCGGAAGGACAAGCGGGCACTGCCTGGGAACCTTCAAAATCGGAGATATAGTTTCTTCCCCCCCCCCAATGTAGTGTCACTCACTACCACCCCCACTTCTTCGCTCTATCTCTCTCTCTCACACAGTGTATTTATGTGTTCCGCATGAGTCTCAAAATAAACAGCGATTATTTCCCTAAACAGCATTAACAGGTTGGTATTTGTAATGGAGACGTAATATGTTTTCTGTGAAGTAGGAATTGAATCTTTATGTATTATTCAGGTAAAATTCTGGTTTCAAAAGATGGAACACTCGACTAAAAGCATTTGTAGTCGTGTTATCAGAGACACGCTGAAGTGTACATCTGTTACGTGAATAGTCTAATTCACGGTTCGTGATCTCCGCTCGTCTCCGAAGGCACAGATAGCATTGGGCTACTTAACGACCTTGGTTACAGCACATAACGCTGCTGTTACAGTTCATGTCGTGTTCTTAATTACGACTTACGGCACACAAATGCTTGTGCAACATGGAGCGCACCTCCGTGTCAATCGCCCAGATGAACTGGACAAAACTAACTAGGATAAACCGAGCGAGTGAACATAGCGGTAACACTGCAGATTCGTAATCGGGAGACACGTGGTTCGAATCTCGGCCGGGACACCGGCTATCTTTACTGCCGATTTTTCGTGGTTTTGTGCAGGCCCTCACCGCCTGGTTGGACTGAGGAGAGCCACAAAATACTCCAGTCAGGACAACCGATGTCCTGGCTGAGATTCGAACCAAGCACCTCCCGAATATAAGCGTAGTGCATTACCGCTAGACCATCCTGTTCGGCAACTCCGTGGAATTATGTAGATTGGTAAAGCTACAAACGTTTTGGCTTATCTATCCAGTTGATGGAGACAGCAGATTCCTCCGAAAGGCTGGTAAATATCTACAAGAATATACGGAGTCATATTCCAGAAGGAGGTCATCTTAATCTCTGACCCGGCATAACAGTATAACGTATCTCGCCTTACTTATTCCATTATGACTCCTTCGCGAACAAATCCAGGTTCTTCCTCTGAAGTGACACAAGTTGGCCGGCAAACACTGCAAGATCTGATTCAATTGTTCTGTGCCCGACAGGTAAGCCTCTGTCCCAAGTAAGAAGGTAAGTGACATAAATCAAGAGGAAAGAACGAAGCATACAACCGCTTTAAGTCTTTCAAAAACATCGTTTGACCTTTCACAGCCTGGTGGTTACTATACGTACCACCTACCCAGATATACAACTCTGCATTCTGCCCATACTTTACATTTGTGTGCTTTTAACAACAAACAGCGATTACTTCCCTAAACAGCAGTAACCGGTATATCGTGTTAGCGGAAACATAATGTGTTTCCTGTGAGGTACGAACTGTATTTTTATATATATTAGTTTGAAGGAATAATTTTCAGTAACAAAGAAAATGTGCGATACATACACTTGACGAAAGACCAGGCATACTCGTAAGAGACAAAAAAGTTCTCTCGTCAGACAGGATGTTACACGAGGATTATGGCCGCAAGGGCTCAGTTACCAAAAAAAATCTCTGGTCGTGAGCCTCAAGGGGCTTAGCGAACTGATTGGCGGTAAACCGTAAGCCGTGAAGTAACTCTGCCTCTGTCTTTAAAGGGTTAATAATTTTACAATTACGTCCATCACAGAAATATGCCAAATATGGAGCGCAGTAAATCGAATGTCGCGGTAAGGGACCCCCCACTGACGGGTCCAATCAGCTTCTGAACTCATCAGCACTGCGGTGTGTCCGACCGCAAAGCAAAGGGCACAGGAAGCAAGCAGAGAGCAAACCCAGTAGTGGCTCGATTTTGTCCTGCAACGAGCCAAGCAGTGCTGCCAAAACTTAATTGTTAGGTGTCAGAAACATCTCTGCGTTTGCGTCATCATCTGATAGTGACACAGAACGTTAAGACGTCATTAGAATGTTACTAGATCCTATTTTACACAGACAAATGGAAACCAAAATCGGCAGACCTGAAATCTCGCTAAATGCGCATAGATCATCTTCCACATGGGTCCATACTCAAGGTATGACATATCCTCAGAGATGTTTTACACTTCAACAGAAATCAGTTCTACTTTCTTTTGTATGGGTGTGAAACCTGGTCTATCACATTAAGGGAAGACCTGAGGGTAGTAAGGGTGCTGAAGAGAATATCAGGGCTTATGGGACAGGAAATAAAAAGAAACTGGAGAAAAATTCACACTCAGGAACTTCAAATTTTTACTGTTCGCAAAACATTATTAGAGCGATCAAATTGAGGGAAATCAGGTGGGGACCCATGTAGGATGCATGAGATATATGAAAAATGCATACAGTTCTGGTCAGACAACATGATGGGACAATACGCACAGGAAGGATAATACATAGCTGGAAAGATATTAAAATGAAATGAACCTTACAGAGACAGTTGTGAAGGCATGGTGTGGATTCATCTTGTTCAGGATAGGGTCCAGAGGTGGGCTCTTGGGAACATAGAAGGTAGAGTATTTGTTGACTAGCTACAAGACTGCTTTCTTCTGACGGACTCTACTCCACGAATTAGTGATTTATAGAGAAATAATAATAAAAGAGAAGTTAAAAATTCTGAAATAAATATTTGAAAGGATTGCATCTGATATTTAAACCCGTTTACTGTTTGTCACAAATTTTCACATCCTCTAACAAACAAAACTTCATTTTCTTAAAAGAACTTACTGCATTAGCAAACAGATGAACCCCTGATGAGAAGTTTCTGTGTGCAGACGGCCATAACGCCACGCCTCAGTTACTGCAGCGAAACCAGATAATGACATCAAACCTCTGTCATCTAACAGGAAGTGAGAAATCACTGGCCTCATCTGGAGGGGAAAGGTAGCATGTGGCTGTTACCAGACTGTCTGGGACTTACTGGACACCTGTTCCTATCATTTTGAGTCAGTAGCTAGACTGTACGTATGGCATGGAATGCAAAGATACGGATGAATCGGAAAAGTTTTGGAAGGACGCCGTCATGGCCTTAACCAACATACTAATCCGGCAATGGCATGAAGGGACTGGAGAAAGCTACAAAAACACACCAGCAAGGGTAGTCAGTGTTCCAGCTGATATTTGAACCAAGTTCCTCCTGGAAAAACATCTAGTGCATTACTGTTAATCCACCCTGCATGAGTTGGTCATGTACACATATATAGCATGCATGACTGAGAATATTTTGTCTGAAATTTCAGTTCTAAAACCTGAAGATAAAATGACCACTTTGGGAGACCTAGATATAGCTGCAAGGATATTAACATCGATTAATGGAAAACAGACTTAAGTGGCTCAAGATAGAGACCAGGAGCAGGCTCTTGTAAAGTTATAAAATGGAATGGGCTACTTAACTTGCTGAGTGAGTTTGTGCCATTTAGCCAGATACTCACACAAACACCTGTATAAATATACTTGTCAGTTTGTTGATTGAAGTTATCATACAAAAGTCAGTTTGTGTGGCGTGACTGTTTCCTGAACAGTATGACTATGTGGGTAAGATGGAAACATAATTTCCTTATTCTTCTCCTGTCTCATTTATACTTCCTCTTCTCCTCCATATTGCCCTTCTTCATCACATTTTTTTCCTACCCCACTTCTTTTTCCTCTTCCATTGTTCTAATCATGGATTCCATCAGGGAAGCGAGGTGGAGGGCTAAGCAGATATGTGTCCCCTCTCAATTTTTTAAAGAATACAAATCAGAAAGGATAGAAAATATACCAAAGGTTACATGTACTTTGTGAAAGGAGTCAGTCTTATATCCTGAATACTCTATGATGATCAGTAAAAACAGTCTTAAAAAGGATTAACATGACTGCCTAAGCAAATGCTCTGGATGCCAACTCCTGGAAACACCCTCACAGGGTCACACACCACCTAACAAAACAACAGGAGAATGCAGTAGGTACTCTTGCCAGCTGCCATCTGTCAAAATGCATCATTACATGAACAATATTCACAAAGGTGGGAGAGAAAATAACTTCCCACTAAGAAGAAGAGGGAAGAATATGCATCCTTAATGTCAGCACTTAATACTCTGATATGCTGTACAGAGGAAAATATTGAAGCAATGCTTAAAATATGGTCTGCACATATGACCTTTATTGCTAATTAATTGGTTATAAAAGACATGTAACTGATTATAAAACACTTTTTTGCTAAGAAAATTACATCTTTGAAAGACATCCCCAGTAAAATACATCCTCCCTTTATTTTTATTTCTTTCCCTGTCCTGAAAAAAAAGGGAGACAGAATAAATCACCTATAACAAAACCAAATATAACTTATTGTGGTCACCAGACACTGTACCTTACAGTTCCAGCAGCTCTTACCCACAGGTGTCACAAAATTTGTCAATATCATAAGAAATCTATACATATTTCAGAACTGCTGATGGTTCCATCATCAGGGTAAATGAGCAAGTTGTAGGGAGTAAAGTGACACATACAGAGGAAATAGAAGACCAGACTTGCTACCAATGCACACACAAGATTCATGCCTCTCTGCAGAACTATCGCAGAAGACTGGTATTCACCAGTGTGAGAACCTGAGACTTATTCTGTAATTACTTGGCTTTTTGAGACTAAAATCTTACAGTGATGAACATAGTACATGCACTTGTGACCATTATAAAAAAGCACCCTCAGTTAAAAACAATAACTGCGTAATTAATACTGGCTACTAAACTGCTCAAAAGCTGTTACTTGAAATATCAAGTATTTAATTATCAACAAGCGCAATATAACATTCAATTTCTATGTACATGTGTGTACATATACATACCACACCCCTGGGAGGACAATGACACAAATAAAAAATTAATGATTTTAGTTATGACCTTTAGAAATATGTGACCGCATGTACTTTAAAATCAGGAAATGCAACATAAATAAAGTTATGTTTCTTCCTTAAAACATGTTACTCTGGCACAGAAACATTTTGACTTGCAGCTCGCTAAACGTCATACGGTTTGCAATGGAGATGACACTTGTCACAGACACAGTAACCACGCTTTTCCATTTCAGAAGAGGTCTTTCTTTGCAAATTCTCAGTCACATTTTATATGTAACTGAATCTTTTTTTTTTCCAGACTTATGGTTGGTTCTTGAGGTTTGCAAATTTGCCTTCTGTTGCCATTGTATTGTTATCATTCTCTGTATCATATCTGGCTTGGCACAACACTCTATGAACCATACTCTTGTTTCTTAATAAAAGCAGTGCTGAAGAAAAACAAGTCAGGAAGAAAAGAATAAAAGAAACTGCTGCAGATGAAAATAAGACATTCTGAACTGATACAAGAAGGGTGTGTAGAGAAAAAGTAACTGAAAAAGAACATAAATCACTCAGAAGAGATGGAGGATAAAAGTTGAAAGAATATGAGGAAATAACTGGAAAAGAATGCATGTCATTCATAAGGGATGGAAAATAGCAGCTTGAAGAGACGCAGGAAACCATAGCACAGAAGACAACAAGGGAGTTGTAACTTGGAAACATAAACTGCTTCATGAAGGCATGAGATAAATGCTGGTAAATCAGCTGATTCCTAACATGATCCATTTTCCAAACAAGACAATGATAAGAATGACAGCTATCTAGACTACAAGATTGGGAGTGATCTGAATAAATGTCCACACTTCTCGTCACAAGAATTGGATAATCTGCTCACCGATGACTGTGCTCGGTACACTGAATGCTGCTCATAATGTCATTTACTTGAAGGCAGCTTCCTGAAAATTGCGAAGTTTTGACTTGTGTCACTTTTCCCACAGAGGTGTAATATATTTGTAATAAATACCGATGGATTGCAAGCTATACCCCACAGTATATCCCTCTTTATGTATACGATTTGATGTAAAACTGATATCTTCAGCCAATTGGTTCTGTTTCACGGTACAACCACTCCAGAGCTTCGTTGTGGCCCATCTTCTTGAGGAGCGGACCCACAACCTCTCGACATCTAGAGTGATATTCATTCAGATGTGTAATCTGCAAATCAAAAAACAAACCTGTTTGTTTATCAACTGGAATCCATAGAAGCATGGTTACTGCAAGCAGAATATATTAAAGTATTGTGATGTGTTGCGCAATGGAGGACACCCCCTCACCCCGCCAGTGGTGACGTAACACTTTTGGAGCATTGCCGTTGCTACGGTAATAAGCCAGTCAACACGCCGTCTCTCCTCGCGGTGACGTAACATGGGACGCCACAGTTGCTATGTAGCCGTAAACAACTCCAGACAGCGTTACCAGTAACACCGGTAAACACGGTGCCAGACAACAGTGGTGCCTATTACGTGGCTGTTTTCTGTGTTGTCCCGAACGGGGCTAAATAAGGAGCAGCGGAGACTATTCACAGTTAGTTCTCAAGTTCTCAAGTTACGAGTTACGAGTCAGCCAGGCAGTCAACCAGCATTTGCAGTCTAGTATTTGTGATACTGCCGATGGCAGTAATTGTGTGATTGCAAGAGCGAATGTGAAATAAAATTCGCTATATCCAATAAGGCATGAAGTTATTTGTCGTGTTATACACCCAACTCGTGACAGTATAATTAAGATCATGTCTTTCAGGATGTGTCTGTGTGAGAGTCTGCATAAAAGGAGAGAGGGAGGATAGTGAAACAGAACTGCAATATTAAGTGCACCGAGTGGAGGGATGAGAATGCCCTCATGTTACAGCACTGTACAGGAATCCCTGGGATGTCAAATGCACTGATATACTGAACTAATCTGTCACCAAATGCAATTTGCAAGATTAAAGGAAAACCACAGGAGAAAGAATTTTAAAATAAACATGCTGGAACACAAAGTAACAGATAACAAGATAGCAGAATATGAGGGTACAGGTTATGTTTTAAGAATGAATAACGACAATCATAAAAAAGGTTATGAATGTGGAACTAGAAGGAAAATCCCAGAGAGGAAGACCAAGACAGGAATAGCAACTTAGGAAAGAGGGTGGAATAGAAAGAAGAACATGGGAGAAAACTGATAAGGGTGTTTTGGAAGACATGAAATGGAAACTCTAAAGGAGAGACAAGATGAAAAATACAAGTTGTTTTACAGTTTCCTGTATCCACAGCAGCAGCACTGCAGCACTTACCTCTTTCCCAGTGAGCATTTCAGGCAGCAACATCTTAGTCTGAATTGGAACTAATGATACAGTCTCAAATGTAAGGTAGTTAAGCATCTTGAAGTTGTAAGGCACATTTGCCCGAACTATCCGTACAATGTCTTCTATACGACAGCCAAACTTCCCATCTTCATAGAACCCAGGCTCTGAATTACAGACAAACACCTCTCATTGGTTATGCAGTGACAATATAAACAGTAATTTCTAATTGGCATTTTCAAGAGTTCCACAACATAATGGCCCAAATCTAAAAATACTGCTTTCCAAGACTTTTTAAACACTGCTGGAAATATGAAAACTGAACTGTGGTCTTCTAGGTGTTGACACAGTGAAGACTTGTAGGTAGATGCCAGTGTTACATCTGCCTCCATACCCACATCAAAACCATTCAAATCTCTTCAACCTTGAATATGAAGGCAGCACATTTCACTGAAAAACTGGTATCCATCTACAAGACTACACCATGTCACAGCCCTGAAGACCACAGTCTCTGAAGTTACTATCAAGAAAACCACAAAACTTACCTAATGTTAGACCACACCACATTTTGTCCCTCTGACAAAAGTAAATAGTGTACATGGGGTTGACTCAGTGTGTTTCTTACCATTTGACAAGAACATGCCTTCCTGGAGCCCAGGATCATTTGGATACACTCTCCATGACACTCCCATAGGTCCTTCATGTACATTCAGGTACATGCCTATCCCATGGCCTGTCCCATGCATGTAGTCCAGGCCCACGTCCCACAGGTACTTCCGGGCCAACGTATCTAGACAATTGCCCTGGAAAAGCATATCATCATACTGAGGCATGGAAGAAATGAAAGAACAGGGTAAAACTGAAGCTTATCAGACAGTAGTAATAATTCCAGTCTACTACATGAAGACAGAACATACTGTAAATATGTACTTCCATGGAGCAAAGTCCTTATTTGATTAACCACTTGTAACTGCACCATGCAGGAACATCAACAATGTTGTTGATTTACATTCTTAATTACAATGTACTACATTTAAATGAACTGTATTACTGATAACAAGATGATACACAATTGTCCCCAGAACCAGCAGACGCCAAGGACAACATCTGGTCTTGCTGAGGGACAAGCAAGCTGCAGGTCACTGAAAACCCAGAACGGAGCAGGAAGTATCCCGCTGTGTTTTCTGGGGATTTCAATGCTTAACTTCGATGGTTTGAGTCTTTGAAAATTTGAGGCTTGACAGATACGAGTCGCAATAATTTTCGAAGGGGCGTACCGAGCGATCGTTAGCGTACCTCCATTTATTTGAGAGCTGTCAGAGGGACCGTGTTGTACTTAGGCCCAAATTAACATGGATCTGGATAGGGATTGGCTGAATGCAAATGAGAGAAACACCCAAATTTTAGGTTCAGCCAATCAGCAAAATTTCAGAGGAGAGGAATCCAGGCGTTCCCGGAACCGTCGGGACATCTGCCTCTCCAGAGCAGGCAGTTATCAGAAGGGAATAGCGGGAGTGAGTCATTACAAGTCATCAGAAGGAAATAAGAGCAGTCAGTCATCAGAAGGAAATAGCGGGAGTCAGTCATCAGAAGGAAACGGCGGGAGTGAGTCATTACAAGGCAATAAGAGCAGTCTTTACAAGGGAATAAGAGCAGTCNCCCTGAGACAGAATCTCGTCCTACCTTCTGAGCAGTCGGAACCCCAAACGTCCGCCTATCCATATCCCCACCTTTGTTTTCCCCGTTCCAAATTCGTGGATTTCACCCAAGTCCACTGGCGCCCATAAAGATTCAAGTATTCAGAGCAATCCCACACCCTACCCTGAATCAGACAGCTACAAGGAAGCGGCGGATAAAAGGGCAGACCACAAAGGTGCGAACGTGAAGGGCAGGTAAGGGACGACCAACTCGTGAGGCTTGAAGTCTCACTGAGCGGTAAGGACGACGAAGAGGAGGGCGGTAAGACACTCAAGAAATTCTACACATGTTCACAACAGCCCACTCACTGATACAGAGGGAGACAATTTCAGAGTCTAAGACAAAAGTCATAGCAAATCTATTACATTATGAATTTTTAGCATAAAATGTTGAATCAATATTTCTCATTGGCAATATTTACAGACTTCAAAGTTTAAGAGACATAACTCATCAAATTTTCATTGTGCAATTTCAGTCAGAACATGTGAATTTAACAGAGGAAGAAAATATTTTGCTTCTTGATACCTGTATAATGGATGAACTAGACTTAACACTAGGAAGGATCACAGGCTTAGACAGACAGAAGGGAAGAATACATACTTCAAGCACTAATTATAAATTAACAATACTTCTGAGAGCTAACTATGCAACCACACATGGAGTGGGCAACCTCCTGCAATATACAAACATTATTACCGGATCACCGCAACACTGCACTCAGATGATGGTATATAAAAACAGATCTCTCTACAACTATGGGAAAGTCAGTATGAGGAATATGCTTCTTCCATGACATAAATAAAACAACCAGGTTGCTCCTCAATTCTACCAACACTGGAAACCAATTTGCTCAGAATACACACAGAAAAGTTCACTGAGATGTTTTCAAGTTACCTTGGTCTTTGAAGGGAAGACACTTGTACCAAAGAAGCACTGTCCTTTAAACACTCGTGTGAAACATTCCTGCTCATACTGTGAAGGTGTTCCTAGGTGGATGGTTCTTGTGATATCTGTGGTACCATCCCTAAGACAGACACATCATCTCATAAACACAACTCCTCACCTGACATTCCTCGTTTCTCTATGTCGGGTAGACGGCCACAACCAGTTCTACGGTGCAAACTGTAACGTGGCTGACCTGAGTGTTGCTAGGTAACGGACCAGTGATTATCCAATAAATCGAGTTACCAAATCCAGAACCCCATTATTTACCGTCACATTACCAGGATACACATGACAATATGTTCACTGTTGTTCTATTGCTTGGCAACTGTTTAATGCTTAAAGCAATCCTTATGCGGTGCCATAAAACTGTGTAAGAGAACACTCACTGATGCATATATACATTCATAGTGCTGATTCAATAAATAACACAGGAAGTATTTCACAAAAGACAGGAGAATAGGCATAACCACTAATGCCACAACATGAACAGAAATGTGCCTAAGAGATCAAATTAATGGCCCAAACTGAAGAGAATACTCTGGCCTGTGAATCACTGGCTGTCCCATTTTAAGTTGGTGTACATTCCAGCTGCATACTGGGAAAAACAACTCCCCCAAATATTCAGAATTTGTCAAAGGAAGAAAATAAGAAGCAAGGCAAATGAAATGGATGTGAGATTTGAGGTTTTACAGGCAGCAGAGATTTAGACTGCAGTCTTCTGGGTTATGGGACTCTGAAATCTGTAATGTGCACAATTCACTGTAAGTCCATCATACAAAATTTGATCAATATCAGTCACGTAATTTGGGCCCCATTACATGTTGACAGCCAGCCATGGCAACAACAATGTATGGGTTTCCATTTATTTTCCGAAACACAACTAACAGAGACATAAATTCACATAAATAACAATCATAACGAAGAGTTCACTTACTTGTACTGGCCACCAGAATCACAGAGGTATACTTCCTCTGCTGTTATCTGCCTGTCAGTTTCTGCACATGGTTTGTAGTGAATAATAGCAGCATGGGGGCCAACTGATGATATTGTCTCAAAGCTAGGCCCCACAAAGTCCTCCTGCTCTCTGCAAATAAACGCAGGGTGATCCATTCAAAACCATACCATAACAGAAAAATTGCATATGCAGGCTGTCCCAGGAGGAATGTGCCAGACTTCAGGAGGGTGTTCCTTATGTTAAAATATGCCAATATAACCCAAAACACCTATGTTCAAAGTTGAATGGTTATGAAGATAATGGCCAGAGAAGTGTGAAACTTTGACAGGTGTTACATACTTGTTGATTACCAAATACATATTAAAACTGGCAGGAATATGTGGTTTCTGTAATGTTAACAATGTACTTAATATCAACCTAACTTGTGAGTGACCTGAAGCCATTAAATTGCACTACAAAAAACTCGCACGCCATGTCATAGTTGTCCTTAGGTTTCCAAGCACTATACATGACACATGAATGGCAAGTGCTGACATAACGTGGCTGACTGCGCATTCTGGTATAAGCCGACTACATAACTACTAAACTACACTGTCCCGGGTAAAAGACGCCTCATCACTGAATAAAATGGCGCTTAACAGTTCGGGATGAGCTTTCATCCAGTGGCACAAATCCATACGCTGAGCATGGTCGCCTGGTTCCAGATGCTGTACCCTTTGATCATGGTAAGGATACAACTCTTCATCATGTAAAGTTTGCCACACCTGTATACATGATATGCCGATGCGAGAGGCAATTCTACGAGCGGACAGACACGGACTTCTCTGAACCATCTCAAGAATGTTCTCTCACATGTTTCTCATTCGTACATCCTCCCTTTCAGAGTGCACAGAAACACTCGGAAGAGAACCAGTATCACGCAATGTCTGGTGAATTCGCGTAAATACACTTCGAGATGGAATCCTTCGATTGGGAAAACACCTTTGGTACTCTTTAACAGCAGCACGTGCATTGCCACCGCAAAATCAATACACAAAATGCATATCACAATATTCCACGTGTGAAAACACAAAAGGTATTTCAGCAACTCTGCACAACTAATTTACCTACCGCTCACAACGTGGCCGCAACGTACTCTGAAGGAAGCACATAAGCTTACAGATAGTGTGAGCCATCATCACCACACTCAAGGACAAACATCGATAAGACTTGTCAGCTGACAGGTACAGTGCGTGGACCTGCCAGAAGACCACACTTTTCTCGGGCCATTATCTCCATAACAATTCAAGTTTGGACATAGGTGTTTTGGGTTATATTGGCATACTTTAACATAAGGAACACCCTCCCAAAGTTTGCTACAGTCCTCCTGGGACACCCTGTATATATATATTTTTTTCATCTTAAATGAAACTTGTAAAATAAGTTGCAATTAAGATGGAAGTATATGTGAGCAAATGATATATTAATGCAACATGATGCTAAAATACAACATAACAGAAAATGTATTCAAGCAACTGTGGTCACCCAGACCTAACATCCACCAACTCTTGTGTGGGGTTTTGTTAGTGACTGTACCAAAACATTCCATGAAGCATACAGTAACTGAAAGTGAATACTGAATATGCCATTGGCAGCACTGCTGTGAAAACTCTTTACACATATATGACTCTCAGCACCTGGTCAAGGGTACTGATGCGTGTATTCAGACAAAGTGAGGGCACTTAACAGCATGATTCATGAAGACCCATGTATGTTCTATACAGCTTTCAACTAACCACAATGCAATGAAATACACAAATTTTACCAAGAGTACAACTTCCTTTTATTTCTTCAGATACATTTCTTGAACCATTTACACAGTTCTGTTCGGCATAAACAGCAGTGTTACATAGGTACAGATGAACACAACAAAAATATAACATTTTTCTGAAATACAGCCAGAAAGATCAGTTAACTCCAACTGAACAGGCAGAGTCCTTAGTTTCCTCGTGGTCTAATAATAAATGATGATCAAATATTTTCTGTTCACAGAAATGGCTTAACTGAATTTATTTATTTATGGCTTATTTAGTGATTCTTTCAATGACTCAGATGATGAGTAGGAAGATTCATGAATAAATAATTGAAAGTGGTCATGGCCTAATTAGAAACACTTAACAGCATCCACCTGAAGGGACCGAGAAATACTACTGATACCTCAGTGAGGATAACCAACCTTCACATCAACACTTGAACCTGGGACCACCCTGATACAAAGCAAGACCTCTACTCCTACTCACCCACACTTGATTACATTGCACCTGCTGTAACCACATTCAAAACGAAATAAGGTGTCCAACTTTCATAACAAAGAGGTTAAATTTATAGAAGGTAAAGGTAGAGTGTCCCTGTGCTTAAGTAACTAAGCACTACTCCAGGTGGCCCGGGTTTGATCCGGGGGTAACTGTGTCATAAAGAGCTTAAACTGAAGAGGGAGCCCCTTCCAAGGGGATCCCTACAAGAAATGCTTCAGCAGGGGGGCTGGAAGCTCTGGTGAACCATTAAGGGGACCAGTTGCAAACAGCAAACCTGCTGTTGAAATTTCAGCCAAAGGCTGGGACAAACCAGTGGTTCAAAAGTGGTTCAAAACCTGCCTGACGTAAAATAAAAAACTATTCTCCTGGGAGTCAGTAGTACTGACACACTACTGCAGGGAGCTAGTACTTCTAACACACCTGCAGCAGAAGAAGGACTGGGACACCCAGTCTCTGGAGTAGGTGGACCCCGTCTAGTGAAAAAAGCCTTGTCTGGATGTGCTAGATGGAAGTTGAAAAAGGCAATAGCTGGGGAAAGCAAAGCAGGAACTGCAGGCAGTCAGCAACCAGGAAATGCAGGCTCGTCCAAGCAGGGAGAAACCCCCACCAGCACCTTTAAGAGGCCAAGGTCAGAGGGCAGTACCCCTACAGAAACGGCCAGAACAGAAGGCCCAGGGACTTACATGGAGGCTCTGACCAATATAAAGGTAGCTATCTTCAAGAACACTTATCCTGAGGATAAGCTTACCGAAGATGACCAGAATTCCATTGTGGAAGCACTGAGGAGGTGCACTTCTTTATGTATGCTCTGTCCAACAGTCTGGTCAATGGCTCACCAAAGCCATTGACAACCACAGGCTGGAATCAAGCCTGTTAAAGTGGCTCTCTGGACTAGGGACAAAATTGCCCAGAATCAGGAAGAGCTGCTGAAATGGATTGCAGACCTCAATCCAGGACTTTGTACTGAGAACTGGAGGGTACTAGATAAGCAATCTGAGTCGAAAGGCCAAAGGCTTATCTTATTCATAGACCGGGACTCCCGTGCTATTTTATACAGAGGACTGGTTACAAAATATTTACAGGACTCTCACGGGGGACTGTTAAGGTGTTGAATGATCCTGAAGTTCAGCACTGGGCAGAACCTGTGACAGATACAGTATCTTCCAACTCGGTTTCTGAGGGGGATGGGGATGAGATACCCACCCCCCAGGATGACCAAAGCAAAGCGGATCAGGGGACCCCTTCACACGGAACCCATGCCGAGGACGGGGAGGGACATAAGATGGAAATTGACCCCTCCCCAATTGGAAGAGATCACTAAACATATTTAATACATACACACAATACACACACACACAGCACATACAAACACCATGACATTTCTTCAAATCAACCTACACCACAGTAAAGCAGCAATGGCAGCTCTGTGCCAACAGCTAGCTGAGGGTAAGGCAGATATAGCACTTATTCAGGAACCTTGGTTATATAATGGTCAAATAAGGGGCTTAACTAACACAGGGGGAACAGTTTACTCTGCTGTACTCAATAATAATGCAAGATCCTGTGTTTATATCAGGAATCATGTTAATGCCTTGCCTTTGCTGGAGCTGTTCTAGGGATGCAACAACAGTAAGGATCCTATTGGATCACAGATATACAGGGTCCGGCAAATCGACCTCCCGTATTTCAAAAGGCAGTTACAAACAAACAAAGAAAGATACAGAAAAAATACTTTTATTTGTGAACAACAAATACGATGCTATTTTACATTACTTGGTTTTAAAAATTATTTGCGGTAAATGGCGTCCTCCATTGTTCACACATTGACTAAGCCTTTCCCGGAAGTTGTCCATAATTCTTCGTGTCATTTCCGGTGGAATGGCAGCCACTGCCTGGGTGATTGCCTCCTTAAGTGCTTGCAGGGTTGTGGGGCGATGTTTGTACACTTGCGCCTTTAAGTGTCCCCAAAGAAAAAATCACAAGGTGATAAATCGGGTGACCTTGGGGGCCAGGCGATGTCTCCTCGCAAAGAGAGAAGACGTCCAGGAAACAACTCTCTCAGAATTGCTAAAGAACGCCGCAAAGTGTGAGCTGTGGCTCCGTCTTGTTGGAACCAGGCTTGTCCCTCTTCATGGTCCCCAACAAACTGGTTTAACTTAGGTCGGAGGAAGGTCTCGATCATGTGACAGTAGCGATTCGAAGTAACCGTTACCATTAGCCCATTTTCCTCGAAAAAATACGGACCCCACACACCAAATTCAGCAACGGCGCACCAAACTGTCACACGAGGGCTGTGAAGTGGTCGTTGGTGAAGTTCCTGAGGGTTTTCTGCTGACCAGTAGCGGAAATTTTGTTTATTTACAGTACCTGACAAGTGGAAGTGGGCCTCATCAGATGAAATCAAAACAGCGCCAGAGGGAATGTTCTGAAGAATGTCCTCACACGCAGCTTTGCGAGTTTCAAAATCTCTCTCACTTAATTCTTGGGTAACCATCATTTTGTATGGGTGCATGTGTAGATTTCTGTGCAGGATTCTTCTTACACTCCTATCAGACAATCCCAGGGCAGCTGCATGTTTAAGTGCTGAACGCTTTGGAGATTGCTGGATGGACGCTCTCACACGCGCCACATTTTCCGGCGTTGTTACGGTCCGAGGTCGGCCAGGCGATTTCTTTTTCAGTGCAGAACCTGTTGCTCTAAAGTTTGATACCCAAACGTGAATAGTTTTCCTACCTGGAACAGGATCATGTCGGCCAAGTTCGAACCAAATGTGAAATGCTCGCTGAGTAGTAATCACCGATTCACCATTACGAATATACTCTTCCACAACAAACGCACGATGCTCACCGTGCCACGCCATTGCGACTACTGCAAATGGCACTTATACCGCTATCGATCAATACCCCCTCCGCCGCCGTATCCCCACCACAACTCACACAGCGCCCTCTCCAAATATGGGAGGTCGATTTGCCGGACTCTGTATATGGTTTCAAATAAGCAACATTACAGTAGATCAAGCTACTTATAGGAATCCTAAGAGAACCAATTGGCAGTCTTACAAAAACGACCTAAATGTAAATCTGGAGACCATCTCGAGAAATACACACACAATAAAGGATGTTGATCGATCCGTTGACCAGTTGCAACAGGCTATTATCTCGTCCTTTAATCAGAATTGTCCAGCTAAGACCACTCGCGGACCAAGGAGAGTGCTTTGATGGAGTATACAGCCGAGTGGGCTTAGAACAAAAACGAGAAGCCTGTTTAATACAGCTGAAAGAACAGGGCAGTGGGACACCTACAAGGAAGCCCCTATCTGTTACAACAAAGAAATAAGGAAGGGCAAGCATTCCTGATGGAGGAAGCACTGCCAGGAGATCAATGATGTACCAGAAGGTGCCAGACTCATGAGAATCATGGCAAAACAGGTGACAAACAAGGTCGGTCAGCACAAGTAAGCTGCCTAACGGGCAGTATACTCAAACAGGAAGGGAGGCACTGAACGAATTATTCAGGGTTCACTTTCCTGATTCAAAATTGATTGATAATTTGGACGATGGACAGGATCAGCAAAACCTGGGCACTTGCCAAAGCAAGACAAACAGGGCAGACTGGAACCTGGCCAAAGTCATAATTAACCAATCAAAAATCAGATGGGCACTGAATACCTTTAGATCATTTAATGGACCGATATGACACAGGCAGAATAGCTATACAGATCCTTGAACCGACAGCTGACGAACTGACAGCAATCAACTCACCAAAATTTATTTGAAGACCAAATCTATTCTCCGTTTTGTATTCTGGTCGATAAACCTGTAAATACTGTACTGTTCTCAAGGTGAACATTGATTTATGATCATATTTCCTCAACAAGTGAACTAGTTCCACATAATTACCTCGGTTGATAGAATCCATGCTTTCATCATGTTCACAGAAGGCAACTTGCCTCTTTCCTAAATGGCAGATTATATCAATCAAGTGCTTCATTATTTCTCTATTTTCTTTCACGTTTTCATCATGCTGTAGTATCATCAGGCATTTTTGATTGTCAAGTTGACAATCAATTCAAAATTTCCCAAACATAACAAGTTGCACTGTTGAAATAATGTGAGTCTGAGAGTTCTCATGTCGTTTCAATGATTTATGAAGTTTGTTGATATCACCAAACCCAGTCTTGTTCCATACATTTTTTTCATAGAGAAACAATAGGCATGGCCAACAAAACAATTTTCCTATATTATGGCAACAGGATAGCCACTCTGTTTTAGAATACTGTTCCAAATTAAATTTCCTCACACATAATTTGGTTTGGGCTAAGTTCTGGCAACTTGCATGTCGGTCGTCTTCTTTCTATAATTATTTTCTTTTCAGAAAAGTCCCTGCTATTAAACCCCCATTTTAAAAAGCTTTCAATTACACAGTTGCAGTCGCATTGTCTGCCAGCATTCATTTTAGTTGTGCCCTGTGTGTGTAGTCCAATCACTCCCCTGCCACTTGTTCCACAATATCACACTTATTTCCCTTAAACACTCTGTTTTAGAATACTGTTCCAAATTAAATTTCCTCACACATAATTTGGTTTGGGCTAAGTTCTGGCAACTTGCATGTCGGTCGTCTTCTTTCTATAATTATTTTCTTTTCTGAAAAGTCCCTGCTATTAACCCCCATTTTAAAAAGCTTTCAATTACACAGTTGCAGTCGCATTGTCTGCCAGCATTCATTTTAGTTGTGCCCTGTGTGTGTAGTCCAATCACTCCCCTGCCACTTGTTCCACAATATCACACTTATTTCCCTTAAACACTCTGTTTTAGAATACTGTTCCAAATTAAATTTCCTCACACATAATTTGGTTTGGGCTAAGTTCTGGCAACTTGCATGTCGGTCGTCTTCTTTCTATAATTATTTTCTTTTCAGAAAAGTCCCTGCTATTAAACCCCCATTTTAAAAAGCTTTCGATTACACAGTCGCAGTCGCATTGTCTGCCAGCATTCATTTTGTGTGTGTAGTCCAATCACTCCCCTGCCACTTGTTCCACAATATCGCACTTATTTCCCTTAAACACGGATAGCTTCTTTCTGATGCGTCAAAATACAATCACAAATACAATCTTACACCATCTAAATATGCACTTACAATATTTTAATAAAATTTAATGTTACCTATAACACCCAACAAGACTGAAATCACACATAAACAGTTAATTTTCACATAACCATCGAAAGAACACAATCTTTCACTTCCAAATCACAAACCTAGAGCCAGCAAACCAAAACATGCTTGCCTTGATGACTTTGGGTGAGGCAAATTCATACAAAGATTAATGAAAGGAAACTTGGTCCGGCCCACTAAGCAGGGGAAGGGAGGAGGAGCATGCAAGTGGTCTTGAACAGGAACACACGCTAGAATGTTAAGATGACAATATTCACATTCTTATTATTCAAATTGAATTATTTATATATGACTTCTCTTCTTTTCGTTTCTTAACACATTGCGGACCAGTTGTTTAAATATTTAAATCACCCTGGGGACCGGGGTTTTTAAGCCTAGCACCCTAACTTGTGCACGGTTCACTTTAAAAATTAATACAAAATCTCCTCATTAATTTTATGAACTATAATTTTTGGAGAACACTTACCAGAGCTCCTAGAAGTGGTTGCGCATGTGATATCTCTGGAAACATTCCCCTTTGTGAAGAGGCATCACGCAGAAGTTGCAGATGTATGCAGTCCTACTCTTCTTCTTGCGGACTGCGCACATATGGCACTGCCTAGAAGGGTACTTCTTCTTGCAATGTTCACTCTTCACAATTCTCATGAGGGTATGTTTCTGCATATCACCCGAGAGTCGTCCAGGGGGGTCCACATGAGGCCTGCGGCGGGTGCGAACAGATGGCCCCGGCTGCACTACGTCTGTGTCTGACGCAAGTACTGCTGCCACCTTGAGGTCAGTAGCCCAAGCTTTTGTCAAGTTCAACAGAAATGCTTTGTATTTCAAAGTAGGATTTCTATTCACCTTTTTGAAAACTGAAAATGAATTGAAAAGTGCACAGTTTATAAGCCACAGTGCAACTTTCTTCGTTCATTTTACTGTTTTCCTAGGAAGGGAATAATAGGCCAAGAACTGGTCGGCCCTATCAACTCCTTTCATGAACATATTATACTTGGAAATATAAAGAGGCTTTTTACTTGCCCGTGTCGTCTTTGAACATCGACCATGCTCAAATTGTGAATAGTGGAAACCATATTCACAACGCGAGTATCCCTCCAGGACTGAAGAAGAATGTCCCCCTTCCTCCTGAATGTGGTGTCACCACGTTTCAGGCATTTACATTCCTCTTTCAGATCTGAAGGAAGGCCTCTATTCACCCTAATTGTACCACAAATACACACTTTCCTTGAAAGTAGGTATTCTGAAGTTGCCACACTGTTGTAATAATTATCTTGATACACGTGATAATTTTGATCGAGATAGGGACCCAAAACAGAAACAATAGTTTCTTGCAATTTCTTGCCTTCAGCAGAATAAATTTCTAAATTTCCTATATAGCCTGAAGTGCTTTCCATGACTACACGAACAAGTAGGCCATACTTTGTGAGTTTCCCAGGATTATACGTTCGAATATGAAGCCTTCCCCTCCAAGGAATCACAGATTCGTCCAAAGACAGTTGTTGCTCTGGCTTATAAACTGTCTGAAATTTCTCAACCAAAATGTCTAATAAGGGCTGAATTTTGAAAAGCCTGCCAGTTGGTTGTGGTTGCACTTCATTATTATTGAAATGCAAACACCACAATATCTGTTCAAATCTTTTACGACTCATGAGTTTGCCGAAAATGGGAATTTCTAAAAATGGGTCACTTGACCAATAATCCTTCAAAGTATCTTTCTTCGTAAGCGCCATTAGAATGATCATAGCCAAAAATTTTTTCATTTCTGTTGAAGTGACATCCACCCACTTCAACACCTTACAGGTGCGGTCGTATGCCTCACGGTGTTGGAGATAGTATCTGTTAGTCTCCTGACATAACAGGTCAAACAAAACTATCTCCAAAAAACAGTGACCCAACTTCAGACACATCCGTTGGGTCCAATGGCATCCGCTTCACCCCCGGATCACCAGTAAACCTACCCAAAGTGGGGGTTTTGTCCACTTTACCCCATGTGGCTCTCCCGGTACTTGCACTTTTATCGGAGCTCTCACTTTCACTGGACACAATATTTTGGGGGGCTCTGTGGCCTCTGTCACTGTCACTTTCACTGAGGCTGGCCTTGCTATCAGAAGACGAAGCAGTTGGCAAATCTGATAGCTCATCGGAGAACAAATCTAATATTTCTTGTTCTCCGAGAGAACGCTTCGCCTGCAACTACTTTCGTCTCTGATCCATGTTGCACTGCTAACTTCCTGGTTCAAACGTGGAAGCTTTGACTCGAACAAAGGCTTTTTTCTTTAGGGTGTGACAGGAAATGAGTGTGATCATGTTACTGGTTAAGCTAGCAAATATTCCCAAGGTCAACTACGCAGTAGTTATGATGCAACGTGGCCACACAGCGAGATATAGTTGGTTGCAACATAACGCGTCAGAAAAGGGCCAATTGGCCCGCCCGGTCCACAACGCTATAGAAACGTAGAGGGCCAATTGGCCCCTCCGGTCCTGAATGTGTTAACTACAGAAGCAATGCTTCCCTTGCTTCCATGCATGGCACGCCACTGGCTACAAGTCTCATCATATGTTCACAGGCCCAAGAGCTTCAACAACTCACTCACCTCCTGAACTGTTCCAGTTTCTGTGCACCTGAACACTCGGTGACCGTGCCCTTTACAACCTCCTTCTCAAGCCACGCAAAGTAGCAACACACAGCAGCAGCATCCCGAATATGGGCATTGATCATACCTAAACAGAACATCACACTGCAGTCATTCACACTTGATAGAGTGTCCCCTTGCACTGGGTCACGTCTGCACAGTAAATCACTAGCAGAGGTTTTCAAAATCTATTCCTAGCTAAATACAGAACACTCAGGATGGTACAGTCTTTCTGCAGCTTTCTGTCAAACTGATGTCTACCGCTGTCTCACTGGGCCTGTCACACTATCACCAAACACTGATCATTGTTTTCAGGGACCTCCTCAGCTCCTGCGGTGGTACTATGCAGCACATCAACAGGCAGCCTCTCCTGCTGCATGGACAATAGGGGTACCAAGGGCATTATAGGTCACGCCATAGCTGAAACGGTTTCTTTTTATTGCTAGTGGGGTGGGACTATGTCCTTTGTACTGCGGCCACTTCTGGCCTATTCTACCAGCCCCAGATGATAGGTAAGGGTGACTGTGGAGTAATTGGTGGAATGAAGATTTGCAGGGGAAACCAAAGTACTCGGAGAAAAACTGCCCCAGCACCACTTTGTCCACCACAAATCCCATTTGAACAGACACGGGATCGAACCCAGGCCGCCGCGGTCGGAAGCCAGCGACTAACCACTTCAGCTATGGCGCAGCCTTAGCCTTAGCTGAAGCAGTTATTCACTGGCTTCCCACTGCGGCGGCCTGGGTTCGATCCCGGGTCTGGTTTAGTGGGCTTTGTGGTGGAATGAGTGGTGCTGAGGCGGATTTCCTCTGAGTTCTTCAGTTTCCCCTGCCAATCTTCATTCCACCAAATTCTTCATCATCATAATCACCCAGGGCAGGCGCAATAGGCCAATCAGTGGCCACCGTACCGAGTGGACCCAGTTGGACTCAACCCCCCACTAAGCGAATTAATTAATTTAGGGCATTATAGGTAAAATTTAGAAGAAAGAGGTGCATGGGATGACCTAAGACAAGACAGTGCCTTCAATTATTTTAACCAAATTTATCACTGAAGACTGTAACAAGTAAGATTCATCATAACACTCCCAAAGCATCTGATGAATTTCAGTTGCTTTTGACTCCCTAGGGAAGAATTAAATAATAATGCAGACAAATGAAGATTCTATATTGTTTCTTACTAACATGTTCTGCTACCTGCTGCTGTTCTGTACAGTCTACATTATGCCAGTAATGTACAAATCATATTAACCTGTGACAAATCACTCTCACTATACGAGGGGGTACCCAAAAGAAACCGAACTTATTTTTTTTAAACTTATTTATTCAAATTTTAAGCACAAACCTTCAATCCCCTTCAAAGTACTCTCCACTTACACTAATACACTTGTCTAGTCTTTTATTCCATTTTTCAAAACATTGTCTAAATTCATCTTTTGAGATGCTTGACAGCGCCTCCGTCGTTTTTTCCTTCACCTCAGCAACATCAGCAAAACGCTTTCCTTTCATGTCTCTTTTCATTCGAGGAAACAAAAAAAAGTCGCACGGGGCAAGGTCAGGTGAGTATGGAGGGTGAGGAACAGGGGTCATACCATTTTTGGTCAAGAATTGTCGTACAGACAGGGCTGTGTGAGCAGGGGCATTGTCATGATGGAAAAACCAGTCACCCGACTGCTCCAAGTCACTCCCGACAGCTCCATAATTTCTTAAATGGTCCGCTGTCGATCTTCCTTGATGATTTCACGAATTTTTTCAACATTTTCATGTGTTCGGGCAGTGGAAGGACGACCAGAACGAGGTTTGTCATCAATTGACATTTCACAATTTTTGAAACAGGAAAACCAATCAAACACTGGAGTTTTCGCCATAGCATAGTCCTTGTACGCTGTTTTTAACATTTCAAGAGTTTCTGTTCCACTTTTCTTGAGCAAAAAGCCGAATTTCATGGCCGCACGAAAATCAGCCATTGCAAAAACGACGTTCACACAAAACGGTTGTCACTATAAACTCTGCCAAAACTAGTCCTTACCTTCTGAAGCAATGGTAGTCAGCTTATCGACTCAGGAATGTTAGCTCTATGCGCTCACTGCGGAAAAACGCGGTACTACAAAAGCTCTGCCCACAAAAAAAATTAGTTCGGTTTCTTTTGCGTACCCCATCGTATATACATATAGACACACATACACACACACACACACACAAGTAACATAACATCCCCTCCATACCATTTACAATGAGTTTGCAAGAATGTCAATAGAAGAATCAACTGATGGCTTCCCACTGGGCACAAGCATGCACAGCTGCTGTGTGCACATTGCTAGTGATTAAAAAAATAAGTTCTAGATCAATTTCAGAACTGCATGTATGTCGTAAGATGTTCATACCTTGGATTTCAACAGGATTCTTTATTGCTTTCATGACAGGGATGGGTGTCAACTCTCCGATACGTAATTTCTCTGGGATGGCTGCTGAGAGAGCGTAGCTGGAGTCTGGACTCACCCAAATTTTTCCATCTTGACATGAAATCTAGAACAGGTTACCAGATATCATATGAAACATTTACTTTCATTTTAGGGGTATAAATTGGAAGATCATCAAATTCTTACATACACATAAACTCTAAAACATAAATCAAATAACATGACATCACACTGTCCACTGTCTGAAAAACATCTAATACACTTAAACTTTAACAAGTGGCCACGCCATACCTCAAGCGGTTAGTCGCTGGCTTCCCACTGTGGCGACTTGGGTTCGGTCAAGTGGGATCTGTAGTGGAAAAAGTGGCGCTGGGGCAGGTTTTCTCCGAGTACTTCGGTTTCCCCTGCCAATCTTCATTCCACCAATTGCTCCACAATCACCCTCACCTATCATCTGGGGCTGGTACAATAGGCCACAAGTGGCCGCAGCACAAGGGACTTAGTCCCACACCACTAGCAATAAAAAGAAACTTAAACAAGATGAACTGATTCTAAATGGAATATTTCTGTTTCCTGCTGCAGATCTGCTTGAGAACACAAAAAGAAATTATGAAATTTATTCTAAACTGGGGTCAATACATACAGCATTCACGGCTGCTAAAGCAACGTGCAAGTCCTGTGGTAGAGTTCTGGATGTGATCTGAATCCTCATTCCCACTGTTCTTTAATTACATGACTGAACTTTAATTCCTTAATTTGAGTGTTATTCCTCTAAAGTTTTAGCTAAAACACACTGCGATAGTGAGAAGGGAAAGGAACCATATAAAAGGTAAAGCTATCCCTGTGACAGGCTGTGGAGGCCCGTATGGTTGTGAGGTGTTGAGGCTCCCACATTTTCTAGACAATCGACTCTCAGATGGCGGTGAAGTTGTCAGCCTCATGTGCCAATTGGCCTTTACCCCCAGGAATATTCCTGGTACTCATTTCTGTTAAGAGGCTGAATGGACCCCAGGGCCATAGTGCGGCTGGAAGGATTAGGTCAACTGAAAAATCCAACAGCTTCTGCTTGTAAAGCATATAAGAATAAACACTTAAAAGCAATACTTATTTTCCCTTACCTCATCAGTAAGAAATGACTGAAGTTTATCATATGGATGAATTGTAACTTGCAAGTTTTCAACAGTGAAATGATTATAGACTGCTGGCGTGAGTTTAGCCTCCTCAACAAACAGATGCACTTGATCCATAGAGAGGATGACATAAGAGAAGAAGACTGGGTTGTAACTAATGTCTGACCCCCTCACATTCAGCAGCCCTGAAACACAAAATTATATGTGAAAGTACAAGTAATTTACATAACAAGTCTCTTCCTGCAGATTCTTCTTAGGCTAATGCCCTTCATAATGTTTGCAAGAAGTGATCAATTTTCATGAAACTTGGTTTGAATACCATGCAACTTGTGGACTTGCTAATCTTTGGATAAGACAATGCATTCTCATATATAGGGTTCTGAGTTCAATTCACTGTCACATCGCTGTGAGGATATTTCTCTCACAAACTGAAGCCATACTTCAACCGAGAATAAAATTTTAGGAATGTGAAAAATACAGACATAACAGGAACACGCATGTATGTCAGAGCCATTTAACTCAGACATCTACACATGTACAAAACAATTCACTCACAAGCAATTTCATCAAGGGCAGAGACCACCAACAGCCTTGCTCCCTTTTCTTTCATTTCAGCTCTCACCTCTTTCACTTTCACGTCACTTGTTTTGCCTGAAACCAGAATCAAATGATTAAAGAGTCATAACTTAATAAAACAAAAGTGAAGGGACCCTTTTCACCATGCTTGAGTAAACAATGTCATCCTGGTCGTGCTATAGCTCAAGCGGTTAGTCGCTGGCCTCCCTCCGCGGCGGCCTGGCTTCAATCCCGGGTTTGGTCAAGTGGGATTTGTGGTGGACAAAGGGTCGCTGGGGTGGGTTTTCTCCAAGTACTTCGGTTTCCCCTGCCAATCTTCATTCCACCAAATTCTCCATCATCATAAACACCCAGGGCAGGCTACAACAGGCCAATCAGTGGCCGCCATGCTGAGTGAATCCAGTTGGACTCAACCCCTCACTAACAAAAAAAAAGATAAAAAAATGTGATACCAATTCGGTGCAAGGATCTAACCGAAGCTGCAAACTGACCACAAAACACAACTGCAACTGTGGTCTATCAAAGGAACTATGCTTTAGTGAACAAAACATTACCCTCTTGAAGATCTCTTTAAATGGCATTCTGCCTGCCCTTGCAACCCCATTTAACACATTGTGGACCGGAGGGGCCATATGGCCCTCTACATTTCCAAGCGTTGCGGACCGGTTGGGCCATATGGCCCTCTACAGTCATGTTATGTTGCAAAACGCTATATATCGCTGTGTGGCTTCGTTGAATCATAACTACTGCGTAGATGACCTCGGGAATGATTGCTGCCTTATCTAGTAACTCGACCAGAGTCATTTCCTGTCACAACCTAAACAAAATTGGCTTTGTTCTAATCCAAGCTTGCACGTATGAACCACGCAGCTACCAGTTCAACATGGCTCAGAGACGAAAGCAGTTGCGATCTCTCGGAGGACAGGAAATATTAGATATGTTCTCCGATGAGCTATCAGATTTGCCAACTGCTTCGTCTTCTGATAGCAAGGCCATTAACAGTGACAGTGACGGGTGCCACAGGGCTGCCCAAAATGTGTCAAGTGAAAGTGAGAGCTCCGTTGAAAGTGCGAGTGTTAGGACAGCTACATGGGATAAAGTGGACAAAACCCCCACTTTGGGAAAGTTTACTGGTGATCCGGGGGTGAAGCAGATGCCATCGGACCCAACGGACGTGTCTGAAGTTGCGTCACTGTTTTTTGGCGATAGTTTCTTTGACCTGTTGTGTCAGGAAACTAACAGATACTATCTCCAACACCGTGAGGTGTACGACAGATCCAATAATGTTTTAAAGTGGGTGAATGTCACTTCAACAGAAATGAAAACAATTTTGGCTATAATCATTCTAATGGGGCTTACAAAGAGAAAAAGTTTGAAGGATTATTGGTCAAGTGACCCATTTTTAGAAATTCCCATTTTCGGCAATCTCATGAGTCGTAAGAGATTTGAACAGATATGGTGCGTGCATTTCAACAATAATGAAGTGCAACCACAACCAACGGGCACGCTTTTCAAAACTCAGCCCTTATTAGACATTTTGGTTGAAAAATTTCAGACAGTTTATAAGCCAGAGCAACAACTGTCTTTGGACGAATCTGTGATTCCTTGGAGGGGAAGGCTTCGTATTCGAACGTATAATCCTGGGAAACTCACAAAGTATGGCCTACTTGTTCGTGTTGTCACGGAAAGCACTTCAGGCTATATAGGAAATTTAGAAATTTATTCTGCTGAAGGCAAGAAATTGCAAGAAACTATTGTTTCTGTTTTGGGTCCCTATCTCGATCAAAATTATCACGTGTATCAAGATAATTATTACAACAGTGTGGCAACTGCAGAATACCTACTTTCAAGGAAAGTACGTATTTGTGGTACAATTAGGGTGAAC